GAGTAGCCCTCACCCCTGTTATATTCTTGCTCGTGACACCGCCCTTTGTGAAAGGCACCATCTCACAGAAGCTCCTTGGAACGGCCGTGTCCGAGTCAAACGGGCTTGGACGGCTTTCATCAGGGACACACTTTTTGTCCTGGGGAAAGAGAACTGCTAGGCGCTGGCTGCAGGGCATCTTTAGGAAGCAGCATCAACTCTGTTTAGCCCAAGGGTTCGTCAGACCCCATCGGCTTGTGAAAGCCTGGGACTGCTCTTATTCCCGGCCCCTTCCCCGAAATCCTAAGGCATCTTGTGAGCCCAGAAGGGAAACGGTTGAAGGATGTAGGGCCAAAAGTATTGAGTATAGTGAGAATACACAAATCTCCTTTCACGTGTCCTCTTTCAGTTCTGCTGTGCCTCAAAACCAGAGGCAGCCGCAGGCACCTTGAAACATCTCCCTCTCCTTAAAGCCAATGCCCTTATACACACGCACCCAGTACGAACATTTTTCTGATGAATTCCCTGAAACGCATGCCGCGCCCAGGGCAGAAAGAAAGCTGCCCTGGGAAGACGTGGAGGAGCAATTTATCCAACAACCCTGCAACCTAAAAATAAAAATAAAAAAAATTAAAAAAAAAATCCAGGCTTCTTTCTAACCACCTCAGAGGCACAGACTTTATTTGCTTAAACACCAAGAGACTCTCCCTAGAGAGGATTCCTTGCTCTCCTAGCTGATTCAAAGACATTTCTGTTTCCCAGCAGATCATGTTCTTGAGACATTGCAAAGCTATGAAAAGCGTGTGTGCACGCGTGTGTGTGTTTCAACAACACGCCGCACACACTTCATTTACGGTCACCGATTTTGAAGGCTTTATACCTGGCGTGCAATGCTAAGTTGCATCCATAAGGTGTCAGCACCTTCCTTGTAACCAGAATGGTCGGATTTTTTTTCTTTTTTTTTTCTCTTAAGAGTAGTTTCTCCTTTGGCCTCAAGGGGGTGCCAACGCTCCAGGTCCCCCCGAGCCGCGTCCAGGTGCAGGAGCCGGTGGCGCCCCGGGGAGCAGGCGAGGCGGCGGCCGCGCGGGTCAGGGCGACTCGAGTGTCCTTTGCCGTCACCGTCGCTTATTATTCTAGAAGCACACAGGGCCCTCTGGGGCCCGATTCCGCTTTGGCTCGCTGACAGCGAGGCCAGGAAAGGAAGGAATCCGCAAGAAATTAGCAGCCCCCAATCCAAAATACCCTAGCAGGTTACAGAAAAGATCGGAAATATGGTTTTATTTTTGCAAAGCCCAGGTGTGTGGAAGGTGTTGTTTTAATAACCTGAACAAACATTTCTCCCGGAGTCCTACTGAGCGGAGAAGAAACCTAATTCCAGGGGCGAAGGAAAATGTCTCTCTCACCTTTTCTGTCTTGATTGTAAGGATTTCTTCCCTCCTACTCCCCCCCACCACCACTTTTTTGGGGGGGGGGGCTACTGATTTTGACAACTCAACTTTAGTTCTTTTGAGATGACACTGGTTTAAACCTGGACACCCCTGTAAATGCAAACTTAGGCAGGAACTGATATTTTTAAAATTTATTTTCCATGGTCCTTAGCTATTTGGGGTTTTCGTCTATAGCGTGATAAAGCTCTTTTTTTTTTTTTTTTTAAGCACCTCGTAAAAGCAGAGTAAATAATATTCCTCTAGGAAGCCTACAGACGGAGGAGTGTTTCTGGATCAATAGTTTGCATTTCCAGTAATACTGTGAGCAGAACTCAAGAGTGCCTGTCACGCACTCCGGAGAAAGGCACTTTTTTTTTGCCAGAGTATTTAAAAAAAGAAAAAGAAAAAGAAAAAGATGGATGTGAACATACTAGAGGTATTAAAAAATAATAAAGCTGTAGTAGGAATTGGGGGTGGGTGAGAGAACTCGCACACCCCTCACCTGCGAGCGAAGGACTGGGTAGCTTTATTTTACGTCGTTGCAAAAACAAACAAACAAAAAAAACAAACAAAAAAAATCAAGCTAGAAAAAGAATTCGGAGCAGTCGAAAAAAATATAGTGTTTCAGGAGTAGAATATTCAGGGTGATTGGAACCTGTTTTGTACTTTCTCTTTGATTCTGAATTTCTCACGAGACAACGTCCTTCGTAGATAATGCACATCAATATTTTTTCTTTTGTTCTTTAACTGAAAATAAATGATGAGCTGCCT